GTGATTTCTGCGTCCAGTGTGAGTTTCTCCACGTGTTTGTGGGTGGGAGAGGAGGAAGTGGCCGGGTTCCTGCTTCACTCACACCTCACCCGCCCATCACCACATTCCACTACTATGTGCTCACTCCCTCTGCTGTGTTTTCTGCTGTTTCCCATGTGAATTCATTGCCAGAGCTGTTTATCTGAGTGCCCGAGGCCACTCGAAGCTACGTGGATCAGCATGCCACGTAGATCACGACGCCACGTGGATCCCGATGCCACGTGGGGTGTGGACGAAGCCATGTGGATCTACGAGCCACGTGAGTTACCGAGCCAGACGTCCCAGCTTCATGACGTCACGATGTCTGCCTGACGTCACCTCGAGATGTCTACTGACGTCACAGTGCTGCTGACGTCACCTCGCGACGTCACGCCTGACATCACATGATGTCACATCGAGTGTTTCAGTAATTATGTCAGTATTGTCGAGAAGTTTGAGAGAAGATATATGTCGTGAATTAATTAATTCCTCTCAGTCAGTGTTCTCACATGTTAGTGTATGGCTTAGTGTCAATTTTGTGCACAGAAAAGCATCATTTGCTAGTTAAGCCATGTTGTACAGCATGTACCACGGGTGTGTGTAAAGTTTTCCATGTATCCAGTGTGGTCTTGAGCCCAGACCCCAAAGTAGAACCTCTGTGTTACCTGTCACCTGGTGTGACCAGCGCATTTGACAGCTGATATCAGCCAGCCCTGAGCATATGAGCCCCTTGTACAGAAAGCTTTTATGCTCATCGCTCATAGATGTTCTGCAGAATCGTACCTGCTATGATTCCCATCGAGATTTGTTTCACTTCACCTCCAGACCTTCAGAGTGCAGTTATATGTAGAGAAACAAGTTTGGGGATGCTTAGACTAACCTCTGCTATAACTCCAACTGCCGAGAGAATGACACTCATCAAACCGCAGTTAGCCCTGTCGGCAGGCGCTGTGCCAGCATCGTGTCATAGCTTCAGTGAGCTCATGCACAAAGATGATGTCACTTTGCTAGCTCGCTCACTGCAGTCTGGTGTATGATGTTATGACTCCCAGATGTTTCACCCAGTCTTCTCTGCCATGACTCGCTCCAAGACTTACTCCACGCTCACCAGGCAGTGACAGCCCAGCGACAGTACCAGTCGAGAAGTGTCTTCCTGAGTCGCTTGCCAGAAGTCCTGCCCAGTTGCCGAGTTTTGACGATGCCTCACTCGAGGGCACCAGCATGTCGTGCCCCAGGTTGCGTGAAATCTGGAGGGACTCCTACGATGACTGCTTCACCGTTCTAGAGGAGATCGTACCCCGTTACGTCACAGCTCAGCCACAGCGATGTCTCCTGTGTTGCAGTATCTGTCCAGACACATGAAGGCATGCAGTGATGCCCATCGACGCTCACTGCCTAAGACCACGTTCAGCACACCCCACATGTTTTTTTCTTCCCTCCCTGTAGGAAGTTTTTTTTCCATGCCCATATGTAATATACATGTTTTAATTTGTGTTCTGTGCCCTGTTCCTATGAGAGACCGAGTTTTTTTTTTCCACCAGTATTGTCGTGTGGCCGAGCAAATGTAGACAGCCTGTACTGTCTGCACAGAGAGCCTATGCTGTCTGCCAGCTTAGTTCATATTTCGCAGCACTCAGGTGCTGCCCTCTCTAGGTCTGCCCAGGTCAGTGGGACGCTGGTCCCACTTGCTCTCACTCTCTCAGCGGCCTAGACTCAGTCAACAGCCTCACTCCTCTCTCCTCGCGGGCATGGCCCTCCCGGGCCATGGGCACCAACACACAAGCCTGTGTACCCACCACGACTTTGGAAATAAAGTAAAGAAGCCTCCAAAACGTATCATTTACTCCCTGCTACCAGAAACACCAAATAATTTTGTTTCACATTGTCACCAGTACGACATCTTGTTACCAGTATATTTTGTCTTCATCACTGTCACCAGTATGACATCCTGTCTTCATTATTGTAACCAGCACGACATCTCGTCATTATTATTGTCACCAGGAGGACATCAACCAAATCTTTCAGTGGGCTGCAGAAAACAATATGAAGTTCAACGATGAGAAATTTCAATTACTCCGATATGGTAAACATGAGGAAATAAAACTTCATCAGAGTACAAAACAAATTCCTTCCTCAAAATAGAGTGAAAAACCAACGTCAAAGACCTGGGAGTGATCATGTCGGAGGATCTCAACTTCAAGGACCATAACATTGTATCAATTGCATCTGCTAGAAAAATGACAGGATGGATAATGAGAACCTTCAAAACTAGGGATGCCAAGCCCATGATGACACTCTTCAGGTCGCTTGTTCTATCTAGGCTGAAATATTGCTGCATACTAACAGCACCTTTCAAGGCAGGTGAAACTGCTGACCTAGAAAATATACAGAGAACCTTCACGGCACGTATAACGGAGATAAAACACCTCAATTACTGGGAGCGCTTGAAGTTCCTGAACCTGTACCCCCTGGAACACAGGCGGGAGAGATACATGATTATATACACCTGGAAAAATCCTAGAGGGACTAGTACCGAACTTGCACACAAAAATCACTCACAACGAAAGCAAAAGACTCGGCAGACGATGCAACATCCCCCCAATGAAAAGCAATACAATAAGTGTCAGGGGCCCGAGACTGTTCAACCGCCTCCCAGCATACATAAGGGGGATTACCAATAGACCCCTGGCTGTCTTCAAGCACCTAAAGTCGGTACCTGACCAGCCGGGCTGTGGCTCGTACGTTGGATTGCGTGCAGCCAGCAGTAACAGCCTGGTTGATCAGACTCTGATCCACCAGGAGGCCTGGTCACAGACCGGGCCGCGGGGGCGCTGACCCCCGGAACTCCAGGTAAACTCCAGGTAAACCAGTACGACATTTTGTCATCGTTATTGTCACCAGTACGACATCTTGTCATTATTATTGTTACCATACGACATCTTGTCTTCATTATTGTCACCAGTATTACATCTTGTCTTCATTATTATCACCAGTACGACATCTTGTCTTCATTATTGTCACCAGTACGACATCTTGTCGTTATTATTGTCACTAGTACGACATCTTGTCTTCATTATTGTCACCAGTACATCTTGTCTTCATTACTGTCACCAGTATGACATCTTGTCTTCATTATTGTCACCAGAACGCATCTTGTCGTTATTATTGTCATTAGTACGACAACTTGTCTTCATTATTGTCACCAGTACGACATCTTGTCTTCATTATTGCTATCAGTACGACATCTTGTCGTTATTATTGTCACCAAACACGACATCTTGTCTTCATGATTGTCACCAACACGACATCTTGTTTTCATTATTGTCACCAGTACGACATCTTGTCGTTATTATTGTCACCAGTACGACATCTTGTCTTCATGACTGTCACCAGTACGACATCGTCTTCATTATTGTCACAGTACGACATCTTGTCGTTATTATCACCAGTACGACATCGTCTTCATTATTGTCACAGTACGACATCTTGTCGTTATTATTGTCACCAGTACATCTTGTCTTCATTATTTTCACCAGTACGACATCTTGTCTTCATTATTGTCACCAGTACGACATCTTGCATTCATTATTTTCACCAGTATGACATCTTGTCGTTATTATTGTCACCAGTACGACATCTTGCATTCATTATTTTCACCAGTACGACATCTTGTCTTCATTATTGTCACCAGTACATCTTGTCTTCATTATTGTCACTAGTACGACATCTTGTCGTTATTATTGTTACCAGTACGACATCTTGTCTTCATTATTGTCACCATAACGACACATTGTCTTCATTATGGTCACGAGTATGACATCTTGTCGTCATTACTGGCACCAATACATCTTGACACTATTACTGTCACCAGTACGACATCTTGTCTTCATTATTGTCACCACTACGACATCTTGTCTTCATTATTGTCACCAGTACGACATCTTGGCGACATTACTGGCACCAGTAGACATCGCATTCATCTCCAAAATTACTGAGCCTTTAACTTTAAATAATAATACATAAATTTAACTATATTTTTTTAACTCATTTATAATCCAAAATAAACTGCAGTTTAATTAAATTAAAAATTTATCTGAGGTATATGTTACATCTTCAAAATAAATTTTCAGTTGAGTGTTAAAATGGTTAGTAAAAAAGGTTCATATGCCCACATTTTTTTGTCGAAGCTATACCTTTATTTTTTTAATAGATGTTTATATTATGTGTATGTATTTAAAACATATTTATTTGTCTTTAGTATATATTAATGTAATCTTCAATAAATATTAAGCATTTATGCAAACTGGTTGGGTGTGTTTGAGGTCATATATGGTAACTTATGTCGCGGTGGATTAAAATCTGGGGAAAAGAGAACATTAGGCTTCCTATTGAGAGATTATTTCAAGCTAATTGTATTTGATGGTATATGTCTTCATAATTAATACAGATTTACTACAAAAAATCCTAAAGTAAGTCATAATATAATCTTTAATCTCGAGAAATTCATAAAACAAATCTAGTGACGTTTCAGAAGTGACATTTAACCCAAGAGAAGCGTGTAAATCACAGTAGGGTTGGGCGGGGCTCCATCTCATGGTAGTGAACACTGGTCTGGGAGTTGAGCGGGGATGAGCTGGAAGGAATTTTAGGGGAGAAAATTATGTAATTATCTAGCTGGATTCGTGGGTTTTGAACTCCAGCTCTTGAGCCCACCTTTTAGTAGGGTAGGACAAGGGGATATGGGATAATGAGGCAAATGGATAAAGTTTGAATGGGGATTAAGAAATGTAGCCAACAGAAGATGATGTGTAGGAAGTGGTAGCACTGGAAAGGAATTATGAAGAGCTCCAGGGGCCTTACCTAGACGAGGTGAGGTAAAGGAACAGCGAGAGGGACGGGTAATAGCTGAATAGAATAATTTTAGGAAAGGTCGATGAGAAGGTCGATGAAAGTGGTGAACAAAACAAAGAGTAATGACTTACCTGGATGAGGTGTGGGGGAGGTCGTCTACGCCTGTGTGTATTCTTCTGACAAGCACACAGAATGATGAGAAACATGAAGCCCAGACTGAGGAAGCCCGTACCAGCACCAATGATGGCGTACTTGTTGATCTCAGACCCTGCAGGGAGGCCACTGTCAAACACGGTCGCTGTAGATGGAATAATAATGAAATATTTGCAACACAGGAATAAGAAAGATTGAGAGAAAAATACGCACACAAAACCGAAAAAAGGGTTTGTATCTACATTATAAACACAAAGATACCGTCACAAGGGTTTATCTAAAGATTTTTCTAAACATACAAATGTTACATAGAGTCTTTGTAAATATATGTACATACAAAACCGTCACAAAGGTTCTGCCCAGAGATATAAATAAAAAGACAACCGTCACAAAGGTTTTATCTAAGAGAACTGCTCGTACACATTCCTCACAAATATTGTCTAATATACAAAAAAGCTAAACCGTCACATAGGTTCTAGAGTAAGGAATCACATTCATGTAATTAATGTAAGAGGGAGGTAGAGGCAAGAATAATGCATCATGGAAACTGAGCAAGCAGAGAGGAGCATGGACATGTGACAAGAGGCACATACATGTGTGTTTACATGGTAGTCACTGTGGCTATCAACACCAACTTTATATATATGCATTAGTTAGAATGGCTAACTGAAAATATTGTATATACAGGCATACTATCAGTCAGAAACTTGACATTTTCTAAAACACTAAATAAAATGACAAAATATGCATGATAAAGTGCACAATATAGTTCTGACTCTTATGGACCATAATGGTTCTGCACATTACTCTGCATTACTTATACAAGCATGATCTGAGTGAAGGGCCGACCAAAGGCAACAAGCAGCATAAGATCATGTACATAAACTTACGTCTTAAGGAACTTCAGGTGTTGATTAGATGTGCATTTGTTGACATTAATAATCAGAGATAGAAATGGGTTTTGGGAGCTGAGTACACGCTTGGGGAAGGGAAAAATGGAAGGGGTATACATAGGGTTTAGAAAGACATATACAAACAAAATTAATAGGTAATTCCTCAACGCCCGACATGAGCTGCGTGTACCCCCATTTCCATCCCTAATTATAATTTAAATAATGTCCTTAAGAAAATTATATTTATAAAATTTGTTATTCATTAGGGTACACTATAAGTAAATAAGATTTTATGCATTCAATTTTGGGGCTAAGAGTTATTTCTTTTATATAAGAGAATTAGTTTCCATATTAGAGTTGATGGCTGAGTGACATCACGGCTGACGCTTCCGTGTTGAGAGGGATCAAAGACTGAACATTAATTTGATTAGGGTTTAGAGTTAGACCAACTCAGAGGGTGAATTATATAAGCAACTTTCTGGTGTATACTCTTGGTTGTAGAAATCGTCTATGTTAGGCAAAATGAAGGCAAACTTTCAACAGTGGTTTATTAACAAAATGAATTTGAACTGAGAGAATACATCATAAATATTATACAAAATAATAAGTGATTTACACTGTTCTTGAAAAACTGGCTGACTTCTGCGCTGGTGTTTAAGCAGACTAATGTTTTACCACCAAAAAGCTATACTGGGTTTTTGACATTTATTTATATAACATAATATTCCGGCTGCTGGTTCTTCCACCGAAGACGTATAACGGTAAACTTCTTTAAGTGGAAAATCATTATCCTTCAGAATGCATACATGAACTTTAAAGAGAAGATTTAGGGAGAGGAAAAATAGTATCTCACCAGCACCAGGAGCCAGCTGCACCAGCCCCACCACCAGCAGGATGATGCCCAACAGCACGCACACCACAGACACGTGCAGCAACGATATCCTCCCACATAGGTAGCCGTGAACACACCTGTGCTTGCAACCCTGCGACGTGCTCTGCTTCTGCTGTGTCTTGGGTGATGTGACGGGGGACTCCTTGGGCGAAGCTACTGGGGACGCCACTGGCGAGGTCCGCGGGGAAGCTCGCGGACTCCGCAGTGGGGTAGGTAAACCTGGAGGAGAGGCATCCCAGTTATACCAGTTCATGAGAAAATATACTCATATTTTTTATATATTTATTTCAGACCTATAAGGGGTTGGTAAGCAATGAGGTGACTTGAAAGACTGAAGGCTAATTTTCAAATTTTAAAACTGATGCTTGAACTGACATTGGGCAAGTAAGTTTAGGCGTGGTAAGGGATGTTTAAGCTATATTATATACAACACTACTACATATTCCACAATATGATCTTATTTTTTATTCATAAGATACGACAATCAAGAATTACCAGAAGCAATATGGCTGATACACTTAAACATTCTTAAATTTATTTGCATATGATAAGAGAAAGTCTGAAATAAAAGGGAAACCAACACCATGCCTGAGTCAATACAGCACTTTGTTACATGAAGGGTTACAGTATGAACTAACATTGTATTCAGTGTGAGAATTAAGGAACACAGCAAGGAGTGTGGCAACAGGTGAAGGAAGGTTCCCCAGAGGAAACCTCACAAGAAGTCCTACTACGTGGAAGCCTTCGAGTAAAGCCTTCGAGGTACACTCACTAAATGTGGAAGTCAAAGAAAATCAAAAGGACGTAAAATATAATAAAAATGCAGCCAATAAAAATCAGTGAGCTGGATGCAATCCAGGAAGGTAAACTGTGTGGTATATGAAGAAAAACAAAATACAGTTCATACATATCAACACAAAAGACGCATTTTGCTGACAGTCGGTGGTGTGGCCTCGCTTCTTATTGGAGGAAACTAGCCGATAATAAATAAAAAATATTTGGATTTTTAATCATTAAATTTTAAGTTTAAGTTGCCTCGATCTTAAAAGATGAGATAGTTAAATATAAAATGCCAAATTCGTTACTCAAAAAAATTTTTGTGTGCGCCTGAGTTTCACACAACTACAAAGCAACAGATCCATAAATATTCTCATGTTAAATGTTCCCTTTAACTGAAAATTAGAACACAGAGGATATATGTACACCGAGAGGTGTATTTGTGCTTATCTGGTGGTGAATAGGCTACATGCAGCCTTATACATAACTATAGTATAGTTGATAGGCTATCTCCCCCATTAAACCGACCAGCCTAAAACATATTTTACTGCAAAATCTCTGTGAAGGTTTCGTGAAATTTTGCCCTCTACATTTTCTTGTAATCTTAAAAATCAGTAATTGTTTAAATTTTCAGCCCAGAGGAACATGTTGCTAATGAATATTTAAGAATCCAAATGAAATGGTCAGCGTCTGCAAAGAGCGTCTGTAGTACTCAGACGGAGGTCAGGGTGTCACCGCTCAGTTAAAATGCGGGTATGCGCAGGCGGCGGTCATGATGTAAGATGAAGTCTTCAGGAAGTAAGGAGGAATCAAGAAGGAAGTGGAAAAGAAAACATGGAACAGGAGAGAAGCAGGAACGGAATGATGGAAAGTGAAATACAAGAACAGAGATAACAGCAAGACAGGTAAGAATCAGAATAACTATGTGGGATACAGAAACATGAAAAAAATGTGTAAGTATATGGAAGAACAATAAAATTGAATTAAGAAAGTATAAATATTGAAATCTGATTAACCTCAATGATAACTGATTTTTTTTTTTTTTCTGATGTGAAAAACCTCAATACGAAATGAGTATTCAAGTTTGTCACCATGACTTGTTGGAGACTCCGTGGAGTGTACCTGGGTGACTGTTGTCTTCCCAACACACTACAGAGAGACTCCTGGAGTGTGGCAAGATGACTCTTGTCTTCCCAACATACTGCAGGAAGACTTGCTTTCCCAACACTGCAGGGAGACTCGTAGTGTGGCAGGGTGACTGTTGCCTTCCCAACACACTGCAGGGAGACTTGTAGTGTGTTGCTGTCTCCCCAACACTGCAGGGAGACTCGTGGAGTATGATTTCTGTCTTCCAGCACACTGCAGAAACCACGAACCCAGCATTTGCTCTAATTTAAATAGCTAGGATAGTTCCTTACACGTTCAAATTTCAAATGTGGATGGTCCAGGATTTAGAGCTTTTTCACGAATAAAATTAAATGAAAAAGTGTAGTAGATAGGGCGAAGGGAAAGAGAAAGAGACAGAAAATGTAAGAAGGACGGGGGATGGGGATGTAGTAGAGATAACAGAGCAAGGCTACACCAATGCCTGGAGGGTTGAAGCAACAAAGAGGATAAGCAGTAGGATAGGAACGCTGGCTTGAACAGGGATAATCTTACCCCTCCTTCCCACTGAGGGTTTCACTACGCAGCACAGAACGTAAACAAACAATGCTGTATATCTAAGGATTACATATGTAAAGAAAATAACGGCAATTATTTTTATATATATACATAATATCACAACAGAATAATTTAATAAAAATCTATATAAATTATTCTAAGAATCTTATCAAAAGGAAATTTAAAGCATTTTATCCAGTTTTAACTTGGTAAATTGGTAAAAAAAATAAAGTAGAATTATAACGTTCGACAGCCATGAATGTATAATATATTAATTTATTTGTTTACCATATATTCAGTAAGTTTTGAAAAAAAAATTAAATTGAAGCTTATAGATTTCTGCAATAAAAATAAATCAATATAAATATAATTGAAGAAAATTATACAAAAGTCGGTGTTGGTATTATTTATTGGTGCTTTTAATTAAGCTAAATAAGATCTTAAAAATTATTTATGCATTTAAGAAGCGCAGAATCCATGGTTGTCGAAAGCAGTGTTATGCTACAAATAAAAGGAAGAATGTCTTGGAAGCAAACATGGGCAGCTAGAACCTTGAATGAAGGTTCTCCAGGTACTCGTGAGGCATCATTTAAATTATTTAAGACATATACTCTAATTTTTTCAGTTATTGTTTGAACTCGGATGAGTTATCCCTCAGCCCATATACAGTGAGTTTGTTCAGTGTATATGCCACTTGTTCACTATCTTGACTGAGGGTGTCCCCTCAAGGAAGGTTCCTTGATGTTGGTGAGGGGCTCTTGATTTAGGGAATTGGATCTATGCTCCAGTTCCCCGAATTAAGCCTGAATGCCTTCCACATCCCCCCCAGGCGCTGTATAATCCTCCGGGTTTAGCGCTTCCCCCTTGATTGTAATAATAATAATAATTGACTGAGGGTGTGCAGGTGGCATGACCTCTTAACAACCATTACATAATCGACAAACTTTATAACCAGATATACCGAGGGTTGTCTTTTTTTTCAGTGTACATGCAATGAGAAATTGCTTTAATGCCCATTTAGGCATTAAAGTATTCTTTAATTGTAATAATATTTAGCATGGAGCCTTAATTACCCTCGTGTAGGCGATATTTCAATGGATTCAATTTGGACAGATTTAGGTTGAGAAAGGATTAAGGAAAGTACTTGTTTGGCAAGAGAGATGTAACTGAATGGAACAAGATCTCAGACAGTATCACTACAGCGAGAACGATGGGTAGCTTTAAACACAGGCTGGAGGGGACCATGAGTAGGTGTTGAGGGGTGTGATCTGGACCTGCCTAGCATGGGTCATTAGATCTACTGCAGCCATTATTCTCAAGTGTGTATAATGAAGGTAACTAAGAAACTAACCAACTTTTCTGTCAGTATATACATGTGCAACAGTTGGGTATCTTTATCGACGAAACGTTTCGCCTACACAGCAGACTTCTTTAGGCAGTTACAAAGGGAACAGTAGTAATGTATTCAAGATGATGCAATAAGTCCGTCAACCTTAGAGAAAAAAGATACCCAACTGTTGCAGACGTGTCTTAATCATCAACTTGTATACGATGTTACTGATGGTATACAATACCGACAAGTTGATGCAGCACCTGGGTATAATTATATGCTGGAAACAAATTTAAATCATGTTAAGCGCTAAATCCATCTGGGTCACTCAGCGCAAGACGTGATGGAGGCTTGATCATCCGTCTGCTGAGCGCCAGACAGATGCGCTTCCTATTTGTACTCGCCTGCTAGAACTAAAAAAATAATGATCTTTAAGTAGATGCGGAAAATGAAGATACTCAGGTCTTGCACATGTGTCTCATTCATATACGGTACACACCGAGGGGGGAGGGTATATACACTCAATTTATATTAGGAATTAAAGTATTCTCGATCGCTGGTGTAGAGGTGAGACGCCGCTTTAGTGACCCTCGTGTAGCTCATACATACATACATACATACATACATACATACATACATACATACATACATACATACATACATACATACATACATACATACATACATACATACGCTTAAACCAAACAAACCAATTATCAAATTCTTTTTAAGTGTGACAATGCTGACTTGGCTAATGTCCTTGAAGCTAACAGCCATTAAGCTAAATAAGAAATGAGATAGGTATTAAATCTCGCACAGGATAAGTATCTGCCAATCTTCCTCGTTGTAAAGGAGTATATATATGTATATATATACTATACCGAGAGTTTTTAATTGTCATGAATATAGACATTGAGTTTACATTAATCCTTAACTCTGTTTGGGATAAAAAAAATATACTTGATGGCATTTAGAGTGATTGGAGCTTAATTTGAACGCTACTTTTTGTGGAATATATATATATATAAGAGCATAATATATATGAAGAAACACTGCAGTAGGCCTATTAGCCCACTACAGACATGTCCAACTCACACTCACTCACACCCACTTATACACCCCTCTAACCTGTATTTAAAACTACCCAGTTTTTGCCTCAATTGAATATACAGGTTAAGAACTGTTATCCTGCATCACTTCATTTCAACACCATGCCTTAAGCTATACTAAAACCCTAGGATATGACCCACAGCAGTCATCTAACACCCAGGTACCTACTTACTGCTAAGTGAACAGGGGAAGCAAATGCAAGGAAACATGCCCAACGTTTCAACTCGTGCCGGGGATCACACAACGGACCCTAGGTGTGTGAGCCGAGGGCTCTACCAACTTGAATCTGTTACTGAGGGTCCTGCCTTTTTAAGATATTTTCATTGTTATTTATATCCACTTTAGTCCTGTTTTCCAGTTGCACACTCCTCTCAAGGGAGGCTCCTTGACGCTGGTGACGGGCTCTTCATCTGGGGAATTGGATCTGTGCTCAGGTTCCCTGAATTGAGCCTGAATACCTTCCACCCCCCACATGCGCTGTATAATCCTACGGGTTTAGCGTTCCCCCTACAATTATAATTATAATCTAGGAAGTGTCTTCAGTCTATCTTCGTAGAAAAGGTTTCTCACATATATAGGATGAACTTCGTCATCCTTCTCTGTATATGTTCAAACGTATTTATGTTCATTCTGTAATATGAAGATCAAAGTGACCAGCAAAATCTAAATGAGGCTTCACTAAACATATAAAATTGAAGTTTAACCTTAGAACTTCTTGATATGAAGCCAAGAATCCTATCTTTATCGGGAACACTTGTGCACTGTCTTGGCTTTAAATTCCTGCTAATCAGGACTTCTAAATCTTTTTTCGCATTCAATTTGATTAAGATCTTTAATATTTAGCATATAAATAACATAATTAAGTTCTTTCCCTATGATTAGAAACCTTACATTTTTCCGCATTAAGCTGCATCTGCCACTTCGATTGTCCGCAACAGAATGTATCTGATGGTTTATATGTCATCGCCAAACTTAAGTCATTATTCAATCCCTCATCTGTCTATGTACTAGATTGTATACACCTTTATCACATACGAAATGCGTGATAAAGGAATGAAAGGAAAAGTTGGTAAATGGATCTATAACTTCCTGACAAACAGAACACAAAGAGTATTAGTAAACCCAGGCAGCTACAGTGAAAAGCTGTTCCACGAGGCACAGTACTCGCTCCCATCCTATTCCTCATCCTTTGCGGATGAAACCCGAATTACCATGACAGTGACCTCCATCGAAGACACCGCGAGACTCCAAGCGGACATCAACCAAATCTTCATATGGGCTATTAAAAACAAAATGAAGTTCACTGAAGAAAAATTTCAACTACTCAGATATGGAAAACTTGAGGAAATTAAAACTATATCAGGGTATACAACAAATACTAACAATACAATAGAGCGAAAAAGTAATGTGAAGGACCTGGGACTGATAATGTCAGGGACCCAAGACTGTTCAACTGCCTCCTTGTACACATAATGGGGAATACCAATAGACCCCTGGCTGTCTTCAAGAATGCACTGGACAGGTACCTAAAGTCAGTACCTGACCAGCCGGGCTGGGGTTCGTACGTCAGTTTGCGTGCGGCCAGCAATAACAGCCTGGGTGATCAGACCCTGATCCACCATGAGGCCTGGTCTCAGACCGGGCCTCGGGGGCGTTAACTCCCGAAACCCTCTCCAAGCATACCCAATGCCGATCCCAGTGGCGCACCACTTGTAACGGGTTCCTATTCTTATTTCTCCCCATGTATGCGCACACACTGTTGCCTATCAGTCAGTCGTAAGTCGACCCAGGGAATAATTTCTACACCATGTACCACTACTTTCTTCATTAGTTTCTTGTGTGGGATTATCAAAGGCTTTACTAAAGGTCATATATACAATATCGCATTCTTTATCTTAATCTATCGCCTTGAATACCTTCATGAAAAGATTAGTTATCTTTATTAGTACAATCGTAAGGCAAGAATGCCACTTTGTAAAACCTCGTAGGGATTCGTTAATTAAATTATATCTTTCAAATTGGCTTTGAATCGCATCAGCAGTAAGTGATTACATAAACTCTCTCACAGTTGATATTAGCCTGATTGGTCTATACAGATCCTCCCCGACTTACGTCTGAGTTCCGTTCCGACCGACCGGTCGGATCTCGAAATGGACGGATGTGGGAATTACGTTAGCATGACGTGTAGAAGTCGTGTAGCTGTACAACATTCTTTTAACCGGATAAACTTCTCTCATGATTATCTCATTTTTTTATCAACCTGCTTTATTACTTAAGGTTTCATTACTAACAAACTCATGTTCCTTACTTGTAGGTCTTACTCAGGATTCATAAATAAAAATGTTGTGTGGAATGTAGCCTAAGCTGAGGCCTGTCAGATTTCGTTACTCATTATTTCAGCACTTTCTTTTACCTTCTTAGGTCTTTTCTTAATTTTAACAAAAAACAGTACAGTAAGGATATTTATATACATGTATTTTTTTTTTTATTTTCTGTGTTATCATTTCAAAAATATTTTTCTAATTTAGTGGGTTTTTTTTTCGGTGGTACGTGAGGATGGACGTAAGTTGAGTAAGTCAGAAGTCGGGGAGGATCTGTACTTCGAAGCTAAGAACTTAT